TTTAGGTACATTTCTACAATTATCTCATCATTATCTCCCAGATGGTTTAGAATTCCCTTATCATAAACCACTTAAACTTACATTTTATTTAAAATTTAAGGAAGCCATGGATATAAACATAAGTTAATCAGGTAGTCCTAGTTTTATTTCTACCCCTATTCTAAAATTTGCCAAGATTCTTTGGGAAGAGATTTATTTAATACAAATACTTGTGCCTATCTACGTATGTTTTCCTTAATGTTAGCAGAATTATAAAGGTGACTCTATACAATATGGAGAAAGGAAAGTTGTCAGCCACTGGTGTGTGGTGGAAGTTACAGGCATTTGATAAAGAAATATCTGTAGGTAAAAATTCAGGCAGCTGTAAATTTAACCATGTCATTAAAAGGACAAGAGTTTGTAATAACTGCTCAACAAAACCCAAATAGTATTTATATAATTTAAATACAATTTTCCATTCTGCAAGAATAAAGATATGTTCATTTGTTTGTTGGTTTGTCTTCAGACTCCACATACAAGTGAAATCATGGTATTTGTCTTACTCTGTGTGACTTATTTCACTTAGCATAATATTCTCATGGCCCAGCTGTGTTGTCACTGAATAAATATAATACTGTATATCAACCAAACTTCCATTTAAAAAAATTAACTAAAAAGAATATAGATATATGGGAATTATCTGATTTAGAAGTTAGATGGATCATATGATAAAGTATTTAGAACCTTTATTTCTGTATTATTACTCTTTTTTATTTTGTTAAAAAATACATGTAAGAGCTACCCTATTAACAAACATTTGCCTGCACAGTACAGTTTGTTTACTATATGCATGCTGTATAGAGGATCTCTAGAACTTTCATCTTGCATGACTGAAATGCTACACCTACTGAACATTCACTCTTCATTCACCCCTCCCTGGGCTCCTGATGACCGCCGTTCTCTTTTCAATTTCTATAGGTCTGCTTTAGAAACCTCATGTGGGTGGAATCATGGAGGCTCTGTCCTTCTGTGATAGCCTTATGTCACAGAGCATCAGGTCTTCAGGATTCATCTGTGTCGTAGCATATGACAGATTTCCTTTTGTTTTAAGGCTGAATAATATTCCACTGTATGTATAAACCACATCTTTGGGTTTGTTTCTCTCTCTCTGTTGTTGTGAATCATGCTACAGTGAACATGGGAGTGCAGATACCTTTACAAAATTCTGTTTTCAATTATTTTGAATAAAAACCCAGAAGCAGGGTTGCTAGATCACTTGGGAACTATATTTATAGTTTTCTTAGGAACCTCCGTACTGTTTTCCTTAGTGGCTGCATGATTTTACATTCCTACCAACAGTGCAGAAGGGTTCCAATTTCTCCACATCCACGCCAACACTTGTTGTTTTCTTTTTTGTCTGTTTGTTGTTTTTGCTGAGGGCCATTCTAACCAGTGCAAGGTGCTATTTCATTGTGGCTTTGATTGGCATTTCCCTGATGATTAGTGATGTTGAACATGTTTTCATATGCCTATTGGCCATTTATATGTCTTCTTTGGAGAAATGTCTGTTCAAAGTCCTCTGCTCATTTTTTAAATTGGGTTATTTGATTTTTGCTACTGTACTGTAAGAGTCCCTTATATATTTTGGGTATTAATCCCTGATGAGATACATGATTTGCATTGTCCTATTCTGAGGGTTGCCATTCACTCTGTTTCCTTTGGTGAACAGAAGTTTTAATCTGATATAGTTCCACTTGCCTACTTTTGTTTTTGTTGCCTGTGCTTTTTGTATCCTATCCAAGAAATTATTATGAAGACTACTGTTGTTACAAAGCTTTTCACCTATGTTTTCTCCTGGGATTTTTTATAGTTTTGGGTCTTCCATTTAAGCATTTAAATTATTTTAAGTTGTTTTTTGTATCTGACATAAGATAAGGGTCCAGTTTCATTCTTTTGTGTATGTATGTCTTGTTTCCTGAACACTATTTGTTAAGGAGACTGTCCTTTGCCAGTTGAGTGGTACTGACAACCCGTTGAAGATCATTTAACAGTATAGGCATGGATTTATTTGGGGCTCTCTATTATCTTCCATTGTTCTATGTGTCTGTCTCATGCCAATACCATACTGTTTTGTTTGTGTAACTTTGTAATATGTTTCTAAGTCAGGCCTCCAGCTTTGTTCTTTCTTGAGGGTTTTGTCTACTTGAGGTTTTTAGTTCTACATAAATTTTAGGATATTTTCTGCAAGAAATGCCATTGAGATTTTGATAGGGATTGTGTTCAATCTATAAATTGCTATGGATAACTTGCCTATTTTAACAAGTAAAATCCTCCAATTCATGAATGCTGAGCTCTTTCCATTGATTTGTATTTTTTTTTATTTCTTTCAGCTTCTTTAATGTTTTGTAGTTTTCAGTGTACAGATACTTTGCCTCACTGGTTAAATTTATTCCCAAGTATTTTATTCTTTTGGTACTATTATGAATGGGATTGTGTTCTTAATTTCCTTCTGAAATTGTTGTTGGTATATAGAAATGCACCTGATTTTTGTGTGTTGATTTTCTATGCTGCAACTTTACTGAATTTATTAATTCTAATAATTGTGTGTGTTTGTGTGAATGTGAATCTTATGGTTTTATGGTAAGATTATGTGATCTGCCTACAGAGATAGAAATTTAACTTCTGAATTGTGATTATTTTATAATAATATTGGTTAGGAAAGTGATAATAATAATTTGCCTCTGTATATTTCTTTATGCCTTTTTTTCTCCTAAACATGAGTGAGTTTTGTAGTTTAAAGTCATATTCAAACATTTCACACCACAGTCTTCCTACCTGTGGAAAAAGTTATCTAAGGGTTAAAAAGAGGACTGAAGTCATAGCATTTGACCTCTGCCAAGCAACTTTATTAACCTAGGTTAATCAAACAGTTTACAGAAGAGAAAGCTGAGGCTTTTGAGACTTACTTGTGTGACATCATTAGTAAGTGGCAGTGCCATGACCAAACGTGTTTTTTCATCCACCTATCTGCTGAGTGCTGAGTAAATGGACAGACTATGCATTTAAATTTAGAAGGGCCACTTTTCTTTGCTCACTTTCCTTAATTTTTTTTAACAATAAACTCTGCTTCTCATATCTGAGCATAACTTAACATATGGCTGGGAAAAGTGATGAAGCACATTTTGTGGTAGGGGTCAGGTAGCCTGGAAAAACCATATTTATTGAGGAAAATGCAGAAACAATTACACCTGGACTATAGGTGTTTGCACTTCTTGCATTATGAGCAGGCATTATATAATAGATTAACTTAATATGTGAATTATATGCTGTATTTTGTTTTCTTTCCCATTTTAGAGGGTTTATTTTGTTTAATCTCTTTATCAGAACAGTATTTTTTGTGTACCTCTCTGAGTGAAATGTACTTGTTTTAATTCCACTTAAGGAAATTCACTACCAGCATTCCATGTGGCTTAGTGTAGTGTTCAGTTGTTACTGAATTTATTTTTAAACTGCTTTGAATTTTTTTTCATTGAAACACCCTGAACTCCCAAATGATTATTTAGCATCTAAACTGATCCTACTTTGAACCACATTGCTTGCATTAATAAAACCCTAATAAATTTCATTTCTCTAAGGGTTCTTGTAAAGTTACATTTATCAAGTGCCATTAGATGATTCAAGGAATGTGCCGAATTATGTATTTTTTACCTTGAGCATTTTCTTTTTTTCTGAAGTTGCTGTATCTGCCTATTTATCAGCATAAACATTGCTTACTCCTACTTGAAATTTATCTTGTGCAAACTTAATATCTGTGTTTATAAGTAAGTGTTTATATCAAACTGTTTTTACCGCTGTATTTTGTTTTCAAAGTCATCATCATCTTTCTTTCTTCATTTAACTCAGGATGTGCATAAACATAAATAAATAAGTTGACTATTTATTGAGGATCTGATGAAATGGGCTCCTACCCACTGGTGGCTGTGGCTAGTCACATGGTAATGTCTCAGTTTGATCTCAGCCTCCTTCACAGGGGAGGAGCTGTTCTTTCAAACTGTTGAGTGAAGTTTATAAAGACACATGGTTGCAACAAAGGAATTATTCTTCAGTTAAGGTTACTTAAAGTAGCCTTGGTCCATGAGGCGCCTACCATGTCTTACAAAAGCAGCTGGAAAACCCATTACAGGATGGGTTTGATGCTCTTCTGGGCTGAACCCATGAGCTAATTACCCTGTCTTTGTTAAAGGGCCCTGGAGATATCAATCATACAGGTCCTGGGGCTGTGCAGATGATAATTTCCTGTTTCCAACACCTGACAATTACTTCTAAGAAATTAGACAGTCTTAGTAAGAGGAAAATATAATTGTTTTTCTAGCAGTTTCTACTTGTGATCAACAGAAATGAGAGAGCAAATAGATGCCCACATCTTACTGGAACATTTGAAATTTCCATGATACTTTTAATCTTTCAAATTTTTTAGCTTATTTTGAGAAAAATTTCATTATGCGTGACATTGGGGTACCACCTTTACTGATATATTTGACTTATTATTTTAGATTTCTTGTTTTCAACTTTGATATGATATTCAATACTAAGCTGAGCCTCAGTTTACACTGAGCTTATTAAGGTGAAGTAGCCGCAGAGCCCCTCAACCAGATAACCACTGGCCTGAATCTGAAGTTGGGTGACTGACCAGCTCTGAGAGTAAATGAGAAAGGTCTCCAAGAGGAAGGGCTTTACAAATGCCAAGTAATAATTATGCTGTGATCTTGTTTGATGGTTAGCCCTAGTGATGCCATTAAGTATGTTGAAATCCTAGTAAGAGAGACATTAGAAGAAATTCACTCAAAAGGGAAACTTGTTTTTAATACAATATATGCACTTATCTAACACCAAAAGACTCAAGGCTTTATTTATGATATCCACATCTGTCATAAAAATGAAAGAATCATCTTATATTTTCAGGAAATGTGGATAAGTTATCTTTTAAAAAAATGAAATACATGTATCTTTTTCCCTTTCAGCATGTGGAGAGACCCTACAGGAATCCAACGGCAACCTTTCCTCCCCAGGATTCCCAAACGGCTACCCTTCCTACACACACTGCATTTGGAGAGTGTCTGTGACCCCAGGGGAGAAGGTAGGTTATACCACCTTCTTTTAGTCTCATATAAGTACAAAGGTTCATATTCTTTCAAACATAATTTGCTGTAATTTTTGTTCTTATTTATCTCTTCAAATAAAATGTAAAAAAACTCAGAAAGTGAATAATGGACATTATGCAAACCCTGGGAATTTTTTTGAAAGCTTTAATTCCAAAAGAAATGGCAAATGCTCCAGAAGGGTTGAAATAATGCAGATTATGTTCTTAGACACAATGAAATTAAGTGAAGGATCAGTGTCAGAATAATTAGAAATATTCTACACATTTTAAAATTAAGAAATATACATCATATATCCAGCTCATCCAAGAAGACATGAAGATTAGAAATGAAGAAATGAAAATCAGGAATTATTTTCAAATGTAACATAACTGGATACCAAACCTGTAGGATGCAGCTAAAGCAGTACTTAGAGGGAAATTCACAGACTTCAATGCTCACATTAGGAAATAAGAAATAACCAAAACTAATGAGGTAGACATCCCCATAAAGAGGCCAGGAGAAGAACATGAAGAAGGAGGTAGTAAATAAAAGTTAAAAGCAGTAAAATGAAGAAAACATGATACAAAGTGTTAATAAAGTTAGTACTTCAAAACATCTTAGAAAAATAGGAGAACAGGTGAAAAGAGATCAAGAAAGAAAATGAATAACAGAGGAAGCACAATTATTTGATATTTAAAATAAAAATGTAGCTATAGATAGACAATATCCATCATATCATTGATAAGTTTTCACAAATGCCTAGGGTACCTAACTGGTTTTCTTGGTTTCACTGGATATGGCTGGTAATTGTAGGTCTGCTTTTGTTATGAAGCTGTATTCCTATTATGTTAATGTATGTATGCAATTCAATTAGTAGTTTAAAACCTATACATGCTTATGTTACTCTACAAGAAGATATGTCAAAGAAATAATCAATCTTCCCATATTTTCTTCCGTCTGCTACTTCTATAGCTTTTCTTCTTCCTTCCTAATTACAACCCTTTCGTAGAATTCATGCCTCATATCGAAAATCACCAAGTATCATAATTCTTCCAAGTGGTAAAGATACCTCAAGACCAATGCTGGGCATAGAAGCCACAGGGCATAAATCTGCAAAGAAGTAAAAAGCTAACCTTTTCAAAGAATAGTGCTTCTCTCTCACTTACCAACTTTACATTTCCCTGTATGGCCCCGGAAGATGACTGGTTAGCCAGAGACGGGTAAGATTCCTCAAGGGAGGAACAACCTAAGACAGGCACAGTCACAGGGGGGCCATCAGGTGAGAAATTGGGGATCAACAGAGGTGAGGCTTAGAACCTCACCACCCCTGTTTTGAGAGAAATCTTCTGCATCTGTGGGTGTTTTGTTGCCCTTGTCTAGCCTGGATTAATACTTAGTCTATAGGCACAGACCTGATCATCTACATTTGCCCTCTTACAGCACTAAAATATGTTTTCTACCTTTATCTTGCATCTACCTACCACTTCAGCATTTTATTTAAAAAATAATAATAATAATAAGGGAGAAATGTGGGATTCACATATAAATCAAGTATAAAAATCAAACAAATAATCATATCTGACTTGATTATTTATAGTTCATGATGCGTGATCAAAACTGAAAGTTTCTGTGATGACTGCCCTTGCACTGTTCACCATGTAAGAACTTATTCACTATGTAAGAACTAGTTCACCATGTAAGAACTTGTTCGTTATGCTTCAGAATATTGGCGACTGTTGAGAATTAGGCTTGGGGTTGATTAATGATTGTGCATTGAGTCCCCTATACAGAATTTTATTGTTGTTAACAACCATTTGATCAATAAATATGAGAGATGCCCTCTCAAAAAAATATATATATAGATATAGATGCTTTAGACATCAAAATGAGAATACAAGAATATTTTGACCATTATGTCAATGACTTAAAAAATGTCAAAGAAATGGGTAAGTCCCTGCAAAATATCTCTTAAGTTCTCATTCAAGATGAAACAAAAAGCTTGAATATTCTTATTCAACTAGAGAAGATGAATTACTATTTAATTGACTTATTAGACTTTTTCAGCAATGAAAATCTCGATTTAATGGCTTAATCAATGAATTCTATCCAACATGCAAATAAGGAATAAGTAATCTTATATAAACTCTTCCAGGGAATGAAAAAGAAAATACATTCTCCTATTTAGTATGGCCAGCAAAACCTTGATAGCATTCTTGACAAAACAGTAGGAAAAAACAAAATTAAAACCCACACTCACACTTGAATATGGACTAAAAAACCCAAAAATTATAAAGCCAATATATGTGCATGTCTGTGTGTGTATATCATATTATTTATATATGTATGTGTGTGTATGTATTATGTATTTTGTACATATATATGTGTGTATATATATATATATGTAACACTAGATGAGTATGTCAATTAAATCAAGAAAGAATCTATTAGTGATTTAACAAACCCTGAGCAAACTAGGAATAGAAGGTTATTTCTTGATCTTAGAGAGCCCACAAAAATTATTGCAAATACCATTGTTATTGGGGAAATTCTGAAGATGTGCCTTTTGAGATAGCTAAATCAGTGTGTCTACAACACCATTTCTTCTCAAACATTTTGGTAGAAGTCTTAGCACATGAAGACAAGAAAATGGAATTAAACATATAAGAATAGAAAATGAAGACACAAATTTCCCTTCATCATATTTATTTTATTTGATTGATTATAGATTTTAAAGTTTTAAGAAATGAAATGAATGAATCTATTAAGTTCTGGGTTTTGTCTTGAATGCTGACCATAAAAGTCTTCTGAGACCAAGATTGGTAGATATCAATCTTTATTTTTTACCAGTTATTAAATGATTTTTGTCATTGGCCTACCATGAATTCATCTTTAAAGAAGCTTTGGTTTCCTCACAATTGAATGTTGTTAAGAGAATCATGTGTGTGGAGCTGTCTAGGGCATTGACAATAATCACCATGAAAACCCAATGGAACACTTGTGTAGCATGAGTAGTTTTTACACATAGAAAGTTACAGCTGATTTGAAATACATTAATGCATACATAATTCTTCATATAGTTAAATTAAGAATTATAAACTTACATTGTAATGTAGGTATAGGTGTTGATCAATTTCTGCTTAAAATTTTTAGTAAGCCCATGACCATCTATTATGAAAGTCATTCCTAAAAAGGTGCTGAAGAGCAAAATGTAAATGATAACAAAGCTTGAGTGCAAGTTTTAAACTATCTATGATTTTGAAAACATTATAGAAAATGAAAGTTTTGGAATAAGATCAATAAAATTAAATCAGCATATAAGAGAATTGATTTCCATTTCTTTGATAATTAGTGATGCTGAGCATCTGTTCATGTGCTTGTCGGCTATTTGCATGTCATCTTCGGAGAAACGTCTATTCAAGTTTTTGCCTGTTTTCTAGTCGGATTGTTTTCTTTCTTTCTTGTGGAGTTGCCCAGGTTCTTAGTATTTCTGGCCATTTTCTCCTATGAGATGTATGCCTTCAAATAGTTTCTTCTTTTCTGTAGTGCCTTTCCACTCTGTTGACTTTTTCCTTTGCTTCACAAAAGCCTTTAAGTTTGGTACAGTCCCACTTCTCTACTTTTACTTTTGTTGCCTGTGCTTTTGGTTCCACACCCAAGAAATCATTGTCAGATCCAGTGTCATGAAGCTTTTCCTTTGTTTTCTTCTAGGGAATTTATAATTTGGGGTCATATCTTTAGGTCTTTAATCCATTGTTGAGTTAATTTTTGTATATGTCATAAGTTAGGGTCTTAACTTAATTTTCTTATACATGGATATCCATTTTTCCAAATATCATTAATTGAAGATTTATCAAACATTTTTATTTAATATTTCTTTTCACATCTCAGACTTCCATCAAGGCTCATTTTGTCCAACCTATAGTTTATACCTTTGATTATTTTTCTTTAATTAGCACTTTTTGGTGGTATTTTCTTCTGTTTGAAAATGTCGATTTCTTTTACTTGAATTCATGATAGTATAGCTTCCCTGGATATAACTGTCTATATATCCAACTTTGTTAAAAATCATAACTTGCAGAAATACTTCCATTGAAATATTTCTTAAAGTGTAATCCTTGAAATTAAAGTTATCAAAAGTGATTTAATAAGTTAATACCATATAAAATAAGTTGACAAAAATTATAAAATGATCCTGCTTGCAGATCATTTTTCAAGGCAATTTTTCCAAACTGTGAAAACTCAAATATTTCCCATGTAATAAAAGGTATTTGAATTTCATTGTAAAACAATGTAACCGCTTAATTTTCTTTACAAAACTAGTAAACTGATGGGCATTTCTCAGGCAGCACACATGCAAAAATTATAAAATACTTTACATATGACTGTAAACATCGGGATGTTATATAATCAAATTCAAATCAATCTGTATAATTTATAGAATTGCAAGAGTTTTGGGTCAGGACTCTGAGAGTAGCAGAATATGTTGATTTGTCAAGTAATAATCTCAAAATGGCAAAAAAAAACTGTCTAAAAAGTTCCATAAATGCTGGTAACACTAGAATTCAATGTGAGTATTGAATAATTTTTTTATGAATTAGGATAGAAGGAATTTTTTTCAATTTAATAAATAGAAGAAACTAATGTTTATTGGGTGCCTACTATGCCAGAAACTAGGCTAAATTCCTTCAAGTTACCCCCCCACCATTGAGTTAGGTGTTGTGTGTTGTAATTATCTCCATTTTACATACGGAGAAATTGAACTTAAACAAAGATTGAGTGACCTGCCTAACATTCAGGCTTGCACTTGGCAAAGCTAATCATTAATTTTTTCTTTAATTACAGAGAATATATCCTTTCCTCTCAAAAATTCAGAAGAATCAACTGAAAAATAGGACTCGAGGTGATCAAATAAAGACAAATATATTAAAATGTAACAAATTTTAGAAAACTGATGCTGTGAGACTAAAATGTGGTGTCATACCATATAGCAGGGCAT